TTTTTTTCGAAAGATGAGATGGATCCTCAACCCCGACGCTGCACTCCTTTACCCTGGAGAGGAAAAAAGGCTCCATCATCTCTCGTCCAAAAGTAGAGTTGCGGCTGCTGTCTTTTGTCAGACTATGACTCGACGGACGCTCGATTATCGTCTCTCGCGAGCGAACTTTGTTCTTAATCGGTACAAGATTTGTTACTATGCATGTCGTAAAGATGTTGAAAAAAAAAAAAAAAAAAAAATTAGGAACAGTGTCAGTGAATTCTTGTTTGTGTACTTGTAATTGTTCACGAGCCATTTTCCATAGCGTTACTGAACTTTCATACGAGAGTCATATACAAACATACATCGTAGACGTGAACCCTGTTTTGGACGAGTTCGACGTCTCTCTCTCGACGATTCGAAATATACGATGGATGAATCATTCGTCTCTTATATCATTCTTTGGTACTACTATTAACGAAATCATAACGCCTGATTTCACAACACATTTCATGAAAATGGGCGTTCATTGCATTTTTCTCACAAATCTACATAAACTACATGCTATGCCCTCAGTTTACTCAAGCTGGCGGTCCTCTCTCGCCCCTATACCCGTTAAGCAAGAAAAATTAACGCAGGTCCCACACTACAAAGAAAGGGCCAGGTGGAATAGATCAATCGTAACACGTTACGCGGGAGCTTCCAAAAAATTTCAAAGTCATCCGACTTTTCGTAAAGCCAATAATAAAAAAAATGTAGGATCTCCCTTGCGTCGCGCGGTAAAAAAAAAAAAAAGTAAAGAGTACACCGATCCCCCATTATTTCCCTTCTCGAGTTTGATACCTGCCCAGAGGCAGGCAGCATAGGTACACCTCGTCCTGTTTTAGTTTTTTTTTTTTTTTTTTCTACATGCCCCAAGTGCATGCTGTATTTATTCACCCCATCGCTTCCTCCGTATTGTACTTAAAGGGTGCCAGTCGTTTCTCCAGGGGTCTAATGGTTTCTCACACTCGGCGGTCCAACGCGGCGGTGGCGGAAAACCCCTTTTCCGAAATACCCTTCCCCCGGAAAAATAAAAAATAGGGAAAAGGGCTGCGACTTCCCTCGGCAATTAATCCGCGAGTTTAACCCCCTTGATGCATTGCATCGTCCGGAAGTCGCGGACGTTTGTGTGTACTTTTCACTTACCTCGCGTTTACAGTGGCTTTCCACGGCGTTTCCCCATGAAATCCCACGTGATCTGGAAATTGAAAATTTTGACGCTATTCAGAACCTTTTCAACTCACTTTGGGCGATTTTATGTTTTGGACAAAAATATTTTCTCATCTACCGTATGGGGTAAAGTGACCATATAAAAAGGTAATATTAGTCCAAAAGTGACTTGATGGAAAGTGCCACCAAACAGAGTCAATTACTCCAAGGGTTGGAAGGGAGGGGGGAGAAATCACCCTTTCGGCGTAAAAACGAGTCCAATGCCATGAGTCAAAAAAGCGTCGATGGAGGGGTTTAGCATTGACCGAGACCGCATTACGTAATCTCCCATTTCGTACAAAGATCCCCCGGTGCACTGTGAGATTTTCTCGAGAAAACAAAGAAAAAAAAAAAAAAGCCCGAAACTCTATCCGCGTCTACTCGACCCTTGGTATAATATAACGGTGCACCAGCTCTCGTGTGTTTCCCTCGGAAGCACAACTTTCCTGGAGCATGTAAAAGGAGGAGGAGGAGATCTAGAGAAAAAAAAAACTCACACCCTACACACACAACATGTATCCTTGGGAGTAACCCGACGACGATTCAAGGGCAGGAATTACCGTTTAAGGGTTAATGCCACGAGGAGAAACCCTTTCGGCGTTGAAAATTATTATATGAAAAGATCGAAAATACCGTTTCGCTTCGTCACTTCCTGAGCACTGTACGTATATGTATATGGCAACAGTGGAGTGGCGCTGAGAAAGGAAGAAAAAAAAAAAAAAAAAAAAAAACAGAAGCAACAGCAGCCGCGCGAGAGGAGAGGGTTAGACGGGGTTCCGTATACGTAATTCTACGTGAAAACTAGAATGTGGGAAAAATCGTTTGCGACCCGTTAGGTCTCGCCTCTTTTAGAAAAAAAGGGGATACACGGGGTGCGCGTATACACACGGCCGCAGAGAAAGGGTTCGTACGGAAATAGGTCAGATTAGACGGCCTTTAGGACGTCTGGAGCTATAGGGCCTCCCTCCTCTTTTTTTTTTTTTTTTTTTTTCTTCCCTACCCTTTCTCCCTCTCTATCAGCTCGAAACGTGTGCGTGTACGTAGCGCTGTTTATATATACAGAGAAAGTATCGCGTTTCGCCGTGCGTATTTGCGCCGAACATGAGAAATGTTTATTTTTTTTCCCTTAAAAATAATTATTGTACCCTCAAAAGTGTATAATGCAAACGAGCGAAAAATAGTAAGTAAACATAAAAGCGTAAGTATATGCGTGCGATGTATAGATTTAAAATATTCTTTGGCGAAAAAAAAAAAAAAAAAAAATGTGGAAATGAAGTCGTCGACGCGACAATATTTCTCCGTCAAATTCACATGCGCGGCCGTCATAAATTAAAACCAAAGGTCCTAAATCAGCGCAGTGATCCACGCGGGAGCCCAATGGTCCTCGGCTGCGAGAAAAACCCATGCGTCCTAGTTCGAAATCTCGTTTGAAATCTGCATGCGGCAAAAGCCACCCCGTCCCCGTATACTTCTCCCTTTCTCCATCAATAATAACACCAACGCGTCACTCGAGCGATCGAACGAGCGTATACGAGGAGGAGAAAAATAAAATCATACACACAGACGCTCGTCCTCGCTTCAATCTTATCGGACGACCATCTGTCAGCCATCCAGCGCACCTATATATATACACACTGGCCTCCTACAAAAACGAGTGCGCGCATCCCCTCTCCCAAAGGCAGGGGTGTGGTCGACCAGGTCCTCGGGGGTGCAGTCTACGTGACGTATTTATGTATGTAGGTATACGTGTACGCGTATTACGAGGTACAGCGTCGTCCTGGCGACCCTTCGCGCACGCGCCTCCTTTCTCTCCTCACTGGACACGGTATCCCTGTACATTCGTGCGTCACGGGTCACGGGGTGTGCGCACGCGCTCCCTCTTATTTTTCTCTCGTCCATTTTTATTTCGCGCTCGAGTTTCGCGTGCACCGCGCACATAAGTGTATATTTTTGTATGTATACGCACCAACGGGATGTTCCAATGTTCCATTGTAGGTACATGTGTACGTGAACACGATAGAGATATAGATTTTGACTCGAGAGGGTTTTTTTTATTTTTTTTTTATTTTATACACTGATGCTCCGAACGGCGATTTGGGTATACGTATTATGTACACATGTAGCAGGGGCTCTATCACGACTCTTGATACCTCGCAAAAGTCAGTATTTTTTTCGATAATTCTTGTACTGCGTGATAGAGCCCCTGGGGTGCCGTTCGTCGCTAAAGTTAACTAATGCCAGTTGTACATCAGTTGTTCTTCTCAAAGAAGTCTTCACGACTCTCTTTTTGGATTACATCGCGATACAATCCACATTGATTTTTTGGGCCAATATATGACTTTCATGTTTGACTCCGGGTGCACGGGTATCGCAGATTCGTTTTTTTTTCCCTTAAAGTTTCTGAAATTTTTAACCATCAATAATTTATGTTTCTTTTTTAAGCTCCACTCATGTTATGAAGAAGTTCAATCACAACTTTGTAAAACTACATTTCCCATGGTTTTTGTACTACAGATAAAAAAAAAAAAAAAAAAGTTAAACCCTATACAAAGCCGCGTTCACTTTGCGACCACACATAGTCAGTGAAACTCGCACAATCGGCTCGGGCGTACATGTAAAATCATACAAAACACAGCCCGAGGAACAAAGGCTCGGAGGAAAGGAAAAATGATTCCACTGGGCAATTATACAATTGGCTTGCGCGCAACTCGCACATATAGGTACCAACTGCACGAGTCCACCAAAATCATCGTTGGCGAGGGAATTCTCTCCCCTCCGAAATTTTGTTACACACCTATCGATAAAAATTGCCGACCCGAGGGATAAGGAGAGTCAAAAAATTGCACGGAATCGAGGCGGTGCCAAGCGAGGAAAAACTCGAAGAAAAAAGGGAAGGAACAATAAGGGGTCCTTGGCGAGGGAAGTAAAGAAGAAGAAATGGGAAAAAGAGAGGAAGAAACAACGCAGAACGGGAGGAATGAGCCGCAAGCACGGAGAAGGAGAGCGGGCGTCTCGCTCGCACGAAAAGGGGGCGGAGCGCTCGGCACGAATCCAACACGGGCTGCGACTCGGCATGGAGGGGCATCCGCGCAACGTAGAGTATAGGTAGCAAGCAAGTCTCTCGGCAAAAGGGGAGTCGGCCCGTGAATGTGTGTGCATGCCCGTGTAATGTACGTGTGCAGGCTAGCTTCTGGTGCGGATCGGTACGGTCGCCCTCTCGCGGAAGCCGGCATATCGCCGGAGCGGGGGCCCGTCTCAGTCAACTCGCGCCAGTCGAGCCACGCGCATAGACGACGCGATGCCCCGTCGCGCCGCCGCTGCATAGAGAAAAAGCCACTCTTTCTCTCTGTGCGCGTTGCGTGTGCTCTTCTGTCCTCTGATTGATTGCGTATCGTGCAATACACACCCACGCACAGGCACGTGGACGCGCGGGGGTACCTGGAAACTGGAAAATCGGCAAGGCTCCCTATCGATTCCGTACCCTCCCACGCTCAAAGAAGCCACGGAATCAAATACCGATCACAGTATAGAGCCGATCGCTCCCGTGGAGGAGTCGCTGGGCGATTTCGATTTCTCGGAGAGCGGAGAGATCGGTTGGACCCGGCTGGTTGACAGTTGTGAACAGTGACAGTTGGCAAGTCTCTATCGGACCCCCCAGTGGCTTTTTCTGCTGTATAAATTTGTGGCTCGACCGGTGGTGAAGTGAGGACAGAGCCGATCTTTGCTCGTTTTTTTTTTTTTTTTTTTTTTCCAAGCCTCTTAGTGCTCTTTTTTAATGCGGGTGGTGAATTTTCGGGAGTGAGTCGGACGTACGCCTAAACTTGATAGATTCGATTGTGATGGTCACCGTATAGTGAGACACAGGGGGTATCGTTGTTATTGGTGATAAAGGTTTTTTTTTTTGCCGTCGCTGCCCGTCTTTGTGGGAACTATGATCGCTCCGACTGCCGGCTTCTCCAGTGGATTTCTCAATGAGAGGTACAGACACACACTCACACGCATGATACATAAATCTCATGGCAAAAAATTTTTTCACGTGGAAGTCTACTGTTTTTTTTTTTTTTTTTTTTTTTGTTTTTGTTTTTAAGACCAAACAAGAAAAAGAAAAGAAGTAACTAGAGCCGCGAGCAAGTGTGAAAAACGTTTTTTTACACGCGAGTGAACGAGCCCGGAGTCGTAAAAAAAGGGCCGTCCCAGGTATTTTGAAAGATCGTGGAATGACCCACACATGCGCGCGCGGAGTGCACTTTTTCGTCCCGAAAAAGTTTGTGGCTAGGAGCGGAATCGTAAAAAAAACCGCGCCGCGTCTCGTTGGCCCGGGGGATACAACGCGCCTGAAAAGCCCTGGTGCATTCCGGCCAGTCGTAAAAGACGGGCCCTTACGCGAGTACGGCGATAGCTCGTAAAGGGAGGCCCCGCGTCTTGTCTCCCACCGATTTCTGTACATATGATTCGGTCTCTCGACACGAGAAAATTGTGCCGATCGTCAAATTGCACGGTTGTACGAACGAGGAAAGTTTTAGCGGCTCGGTATTCCCTTGTTTCGCTGCTCTCTCGTGGTTTATCAATTGGACTGGTACCCACGTTTGAATTTGTAAAGGAGTTACGCAAACTCAATTTTTTTTTTTTTTTTTTTTTCTGCTCGAAAGCACATTTTACGTAACTGTGTATTGTTGGTGTTTTTTCAAGACGGAATCGAAAATATGTTTTGTAACGCGCTTGCGTCAGAAAAAAATCAGTGGTGTCTCGGATACCAAACGTAGGTGCGATGTAAAAAATAAAGGCGCTCCGTTTGAGTTCGGCCGATTTTCAAAACAATGACGCTCGCGTAGCATCGCAAATGAGTAGCGTCGGACGCCTCATTCGACGCGAGTTCGCGAAATCGAAAAAGTTTTCGGAGGCGCAAGGTCGCGCCGAGAGGGGAGGAAAACCGATTCGTGGGTCGGAGATCACAATTGGAGCCAGCGCGAGCGACGACAGCGCAAGGCCTCGCCGAAGCCGTTCCCGATAAACGCCTCTGCAATTATCGCCGTGCGGGTAGCGGGGTGGACGAAAAAATCGGCTCAAGAGGTCATTCGAGAGAGAGAGAGAGACGACTTGGCTGCTCTCCGACTCTTTTTCGCCTTCATTACTCGCCGAAGGCTTCCCCGAGACGGGCCAATTATCGACTTACTTAACGGCTGTTTGTGAAAAAATTCCGAGCGTACACGCGCGCATTATTTCCAGTGCGAGGAAACAAAAAAAAAAAGCCGGGAAGACTTAAAACGCTTGGGGAAAAAAATCCGCGAGACGTCCATTTTTTCTCCCTTTTTTTTTAGTTTTGCAAGCGATTTGCTTCGGACTTTCCGTTCCAAAGCGTTGAATTAGGCGCGAAGATGTACTATTTATACTTTATATTCCTTATAGAAACAAAAAATCAAATGATTGAAATTGCAAATCCATCTGATGTCGCCTGTAAATGTCTACCGAACAAACCGACAGACCAATCCATCGGAGCGCCGACGTCGCCGACAATTAACCGCAGCCGTTAATTCCTCGATCGGGCGACTACATATACATGTACATGTATGTATATACACCTCGTTACGCGTAACTCGTTCGTTCAACGACGAATAATAACCGCTCGCTCAGCGGCCGTTTTCCTCGAAAGAGCCAACCACACTCTTCTCAACTCGCGTAACATCCACATACTGTCGGGAAAAAAGGAGAATAAAGACGAGGGAGGGGAAGAGCAGCCGCGGCTAATCGAGTGACAATTTGTGAATAGCCAGGGAATGCGTAGTTAGCTCGTCGAGCTGGACTCAATTTACCGAGGCGGTAATTTCCATTGAGCGTCGCGGGCACACGTATATGTATCTGTATACCCGCGCTCTCAACCCATACACGCGTGTCGACGTAACATTATACGTGCTTTTATTTTATAAAATTTAACGGACACCGACGCGCCATTTTGTTCGAGCAAGTATTTCCGAAAATGGACTACGCTGTACTGCACACAATATACTTACGCGTCGTAGGCTAGATGGGCTCAATTGGAACGGCTTCGCGGAACTTGCGTCCATCACGCGACACTGCGGAATATTACGTGGCGAGCGCTCTGGAATTCATTTCGACTTTTTTTTTTCCTCTCTTCGTTCCACTCCCCTTACAGTAAGAAATGATTTTCCCAAAAATGCAAGCAACATTAGCACGTATACTGCTCTCTCAGTGTTCATATTACCGTCAGACTCGGCAGTTTCTCCATCATAAAACGTATACATATACCCTTGATATTCCAATGGTAAAACAAACATGCCAAAGCTCCACGGGAAAAGCTCGATCGTCCGAAAATCCAAACCGATCCTCGTACACGAGTCGTTTGCTGACGAGGAAAAAAAAACAAAGGGGGGTTTTGTCGGAGGGGGAAAGAGAGGACCGCGAAACAATCGTACAAGAGGAAGGGGGGGGGGTCGCGTTATTTCATGCCGAGCATATCGGCTTTAAAAGCTCTCGGGCCGGCTCGTCTGTAAAATTATGATTGTTTGTCCGCGAGATTTACTGCGGCGCGTGTGCACGGCCCTCGGAGCACACGAGGAGGGATGTATCCTCTCTTTCTTGCCTCCTCCCGTTCCTTCGGGCTCACGAGCCAAAAGGGGAGAGAGAGAGAGAGAGAGACAGGCAAGTCTGCTGTCGCCGCCACTGCCGCCGCGAGATTAAAGAATATCGTGAATTTACACAGCGCACGACTGCGCAATAACACGCCGCGTCCGATGGGGGCTCTCTCTCCTCCCTCTCTTTCGTGTGCAGGTAGCAGCCCTGCTGGGGAGCAGAGATGCTGCGCCTCGCATATACACCGCAGAGCCCACGAATTTGTTCCGGCGCGTGTTTGCTTAAAAATTTGTCGGTTGATTTCTTCTCCCCCCACCCACCCTCTTTTCCTGTAAATGTTGCAGAGAGAGAGAGAGAGAGAGAGAGCTTCTGATGCCGGCCCCGAGCAAGCGTTACACTACAACGAGGAAGCGTTTGTGCGATTTTTCGACAACCGATTTTCCGATTGCACTCAATTTGGTGTTACTCATGGGTCACGGAGTTGAGGGTTAATTTTGGAATCGATTCGCTTGTTGCGTTCGATCAGCATGGGGAGGCCATACTGGCACGCTCATAATTCAAAATTTAAATTAAAAATCTCGGAAACACGAAATAAATGTATGTATTATACGTATACATATATGTATTTCAGCTGTCAAAACAAGTAATGAAAGAATTTGACAGTTTTGGGGGAGGGCGAGGGAGGAGCAGGCGAGAAGTCGTGGAAGCAGGCAGCCGTAGCTCCTCTAGCGATGCAGCCGTGTAATTAACAAACGCGTCCGGAATCGACAATCCGAGTACAGCCTGGCTGCGGAAGGGGGGGGGGCACGTGGGTAGTTTTATCGCCGAGGCGGGAGAGGGATTATGGCCGCGTATTAAGAGAAATCGAAAAGGCAAAGGGATAAAAAGTTTGAGAGGAGAAGGAGCGAAATGAGAAACGTACACGTATACGCACGTGGGATCTGTATAACCGGGGAAGAGAAGAAAAAAAAAAAAAAAAAAAAAAAACACAAGCGAGAGGGAAATAAGAAGAAGGAGCAGACGGATTTCTGGCTGGACGCTCTTGTGTGTGTGCGTCAGATGCTCTTGTAAATGCATACACGAGCGATTCCGCAAATAATAATAATCGAGGAGTCACTAGGACCTTTCATTTTTACCTCTTTTTGTTCGAGCATTTGAAAAAGTTTGTACTAATTTGCGACAAGTTAATTGTGACATTTAAAAAAAAATTTTTTAAGGAACTTTTTTCTTTCCTAATTTAAAGTCAAAATCGGAAAAAATATCAAGTTGTCGTACGTACGAATGTGTCCCATGGTGGGAGAACGGGTCCGGTGATTCTGAGATACTAGGGTGTGTTCAAACCCCCGATTGTTGTTCATACTTCATCTATGATGGCCATGTAATATCTTTGTAAAATGACCAAAATAATGGCAATTATTTCCTACTGTGAGGACAACGTGTAACACCTTTTTTTTTATTGTCAAAATAAAGAGAACACTTTTAGTGTTAATTTTACTTTGAACCCCACAGTTTTTGAGTACTAAGGGATCACCAACCACCACCAAATGATGCTGTTAAAATATATTTATGTGAAAGATTTTTTTACATTAGCTTTGAGAGTCAAAAATAAAATTACCCAGAACTAATATAAAAGAACTATGTACATGCACGTATAAGCTGCAACTCTTTACCCCAAGTATAAGTGTTCATCCGAGTGCTACCTGTATATTTTTCACGGAATCCTTCGCTCACCCTCGTGAGCGAAAAGCTCGAAATCTCGCGTATCGTCCCTCCCTTTTTTTTCACACGTCGCACTCCCAGCCTTACCCCAATGTAAGTATATATAGGTGCATAACACACGTGCACGCGCTCTCTCGCGGATCGTAAATACGCATAAACGAATTAATTCACGCGCGAAACGCTCGGCTGCGATTACGTGTCGTGTAAACAGCAGCGCGCTGCACGAGCATAAATAATGGTATACGCGTTATTCTCGCGTTCACACCCTCGTTCCCCGTGCGCTGCGTATATATTTACAAACGCGTTTTTCCAAGCTCAATTACGCCGCAGCGCGCTAACGATCTCGCGCGATAGCCAAATATTTTCGATACTCGCACAACAGTTTGACTTTTCTTCCCGTACTTCCTTTCATGCCGCTGCTTAACAATTTCGTGTCTGTCTCGAAAAGAGGAAAAAAAGAGCCTGAGAGCGAAATGCGCCTCTTTATGAGATTCTTTTTTTTTTCTTTTTTCTTTTTTTTTTCACGCAACCGAGTCGTACGTCAGACGACCGACTGCTCGCCCTCTTCAACTTTTTTCCTCTTTCACGCTCTCTCTCCCGAAATGGAAATAAAATTCTCTCACACGCGCGCGAGCGATTGCCTCCGGGAGAGGGGGAACTTTTTTTTCCTT